AAATCTCTCCATTCAAGGAAAGAGAGATAATGGAGCTAGGATGGGAAAGAATAGGAAAGGATAGATAGACAGACAGATAGATAGATAGATAGATAGATAGATAGATAGATAGATAGATAGATAGAACAACCCATCTCAAACAAGCAAGATTATCTCGTTTACTCACCACTGTATAATAAAAAACTGCTTAAAAGCTTGGATGGGATTCTGTAAGCTTTCAGCTACTGTGTCTTGCTCTTAGCTCAAAATGCATTGTGTCACAGTGTTCAGTTTCTTTTTTTTTTAACCACTGACAACCAGAAGTGCACAGAGCACCTGATCAGATTGCACCCTTTAAGATCCTGAAGGTTGTGGCCAGAAAAGCATACAAAAGATATCAGACTCCATGGCTCATGGGTGGAGCAAGACGCAGGGCTTCCAACTTCCCCTCACACACATCCTGAGACCTGTGTGGTTCAGAGCAAGCAAAGACTGAGGTGAATACAGACTGAAGAGGCTGAAATATAAAAGAGACGGAATGTTAGTGTATGTGTGTAGATGCACTGAGGCAATGTAAGTGATGAGGGGTGACATCAAGCGGCATGCTCCTCATGAGCAGACGCTCATTCACCACCATCAGCATCATTAGCTCTTCAAGGGCAGTCATGCATGCTGCCAGCCAACCTTCACTGCTCACACTTGTGCACACCCCTTGTGACATGGCTTAGGAAGTCTTCACACACGCCAGCTGTGCTCCAAATGCAAACTGCTCACTTGGTTAGCTTGCCTGCCAAGCAATTTCCAACACTGCCTCTTCCCCACAGAGACACGACTGGCCATTCATGCCTGAAACAGCTACTGAGGGCAGCTCAACACTCACAACACTATGCACAAGACTAATTCAAACCTTTCTTATATGTATGAATAGAAAATTCTACAACTCAGTCAGATACCTGAGCTAACCCCAATGTGTCCCTTGCATGCCTGAATATTATGGTTGCTATTAAATCAGATTCTCCTGACAATTTCAAGACAGACATCGGCGTGCTTGAAGACACACATCCATGCAATTTATCATAGATAATAAAAGGATTTTTATATCCCCTCTGCACGATTACTTTTTCATTTCAGGAAAAAAAAGTTATCACTAACTAAAATTCTGGTTTATCTTACGAATTGTATTAGAACTCTGTTACAACTGGAGCTACTGCCAAGCCCTGCAAACAAATTGCTGATTACACTGGTGAATTTATTATCTAGATTGCCTGTCTTTGGCACCATCCCTTGATATCTCTGCACAATGTGTGTTAAAGAACAGAAGAAGATCAGCCTGGCGCATAGTTACTTATGAGATAATATCTAAAGTCTCTGGGCATGAGAGGCTGCTTCCTCCCCACTATATAAATGTATATGAGTCAAAACTAGGGCAGAACCAAATATGAATTTCAATAGGATACATTTTTTTTTGTTTGGACATGCAATTTTGGCAGTAAGAGGCACCACGCCTTGAATATCAATCATAGCCTGGTATTGTAATCCTCTCAGGTGGAGTAGGAAGATCTGTGAGACAGAGTAGCGCATTGCCTTGAAGGCAAGCTCAAACAGCAAATACTAACAGAATGGCAGGCAGATGTCAACATACTGTTGTTTTCTTTAAACATTATAATCATTATTTAGATCATTTTTGTTGTAATAGTGCTTCCTCTCTTGTCAAGGCCACAGTATAAACTATATTGTTCAGATAAGAGAATAACCTAGCTTACATTGTATTAGCTTAACTATGCTTGTCTCAGTTAATTTGACCATGTTAGTTAATTTAAATTTATTAAATTTAAAGCAAGAAATTATTTTAGAGTGAATTATTCCATGGCTGTCTTTTCCATCTTACTTTGGACATTGCATGTGGCAACATTTTCAGGGTTCATTAACTGACATTATTTACTGCATTAGTTAACATTAACAAACCAGGAACATTCAGCATTAATGAACCATAAGTAACATTTTACAAACTATCTAACACTTGACATTTATATAAATTAAACTATTAACTGACATTTATATAAATTTTAACTCCAGCATTGACTAATGTTTATACAGTCCATTGACTGTATATTGATGGTATGAACATTGGTTAGTGCAGTTGTCACTGAAATAGTACTTTTATGAGTATAATTAAATTACGGTACATTTACTTGTTTTTTAAATGAGTAATCGACTTTGCTATTATTTTTTATCCTGGGTTTATTTTAACCCTGGGAGACTGTAAGCCAATTAAAAGACAGTATGTGCACATTTTAAACAATTCATTTTCAATATCCAATCTTAATAAAGCATTTTCCTGCTGAAAGTCTACATTTATGGTGCCAAAAGCTGAGTCAACAGCAGCAGTGTCTGAGACAGTGGAGGCAGATGAGCATCCCTGGACCAATTTCAATTCAATTCAATTCAATTTTATTTGTATAGCGCTTTTAACAATAAACAGTGTCACAAAGCAGCTTTACAGAAATAAATTCATTTAAAAAAAAATTTAATCAAAATAAACTGTAAACGTGTGAATTTATCCCTAGTGAGCAAGCCAGAGGTGACAGTGGCAAGGAAAAACTCCCTGAGACGCTATGAGGAAGAAACCTTGAGAGGAACCAGACACAAAAGGGAACCCATCCTCATCTGGGTGATAATGGATAGTGCAATTGTAAATAAATCCCTTCTATAACTGTGTACTACATGGACAAATAGTGCAATTGTGCAAGCAGTAAATTCATTAGTTTTCACATGAAGTCCGGTTTGTTGAACATATCCAATGTCCACTGATGGAGACCTGAGACCCCTCAGAAGGGCTCAGGATCACTGGTATCTCAGGAGTAGCATGTGTAGCTTGACAGAGAGAGAGAGAGAGAGAGAAAGTGAGAGAGAGGGAGAGATTGTTAGGTAAGTTTTTGTCCCGTAATGGTTAAGGACAATGTACTTTGCATGCAGAGTGCATGCAGAGACTCCAGCAAGACTAGCTATGACAGCTTAACTAAAATGGAGAGCCAGAAGGTAACACAGACATGAGGGCAACCTGGGACATAAGGCAGCCAGCCACTCCACCGTCGACAAACCTGAGTGAATGCTTGAGAGTGGGGAGGCGACAGCATGTATGCTGAAACATACAACTGTGTGTCATCAGCATAACAGTGGAAGCTAATACCATGTTTACGAATAATTTTGCCCAGAGGTAGCATATATGAAGAAAAGAGCAGTGGGCCTAAAACAGAACCTTGTGGAACACCAAAGTTTACCCTAGTATGCGTAGAGAAGTCACCATTTACATCTACAAACTGATAACGATCAGTCAAATAAGACCTGATCCAGGAGAGGGCTGTTCCTTTAACGCCTACAACATTTTCTAGTCTATCAAGGAGAATAGTATGATCAATAGTATCAAAAGCTGCACTAAGTGCTACTACAGCCTATAATTATTGCTAAGGATAATGTGTAAGGGGCATCTTTGCTAGACTCTGTAGCTAGAAACGTGTATGAGTTAATAAGAGCTAGCTATCTAATTAATCTAACAAGCTACTGAACCCCAACAGCATTTGGCCAGCTAATGTTACCTTTCTTATATAATTATATACACTTAATAATACATTCTTATATACACTGCTGGTGATGGAGGTGGTGTTATCTTCAGCATAGCTCACTTGGTTTGTTAACATAAGAACAGAATAAAAATAGAGCATGTGTCAGTTGTAGACATATAAAAACTAATTAGTAAAGTAATTACTCAAGCAGTTTTTCACTAGACGACTTAATTACTCTTACTTGAGTAATTTCTTGATAACTACGTTTACTTTTACTCGAGTGAATTATTACTATGGTATTGTAGTCAGTGTAAAAGTCTGTGTGTTTTGTATTCTTTCCATTACTTATTGTGTATTGATGCTGAAGCACATGGTTTATCCATGTTAACTAATGTGTTAAATAATGTCGCTTAAGGGAAACTTAATGCAAGCCATAATGTACACTCTTGGGCAAAAAAATGGGCCAGGCCCAAAATGGCAAATATTAAGCTTTTAATGGCCTTTTCAACAAATCATTGCTCAGACAATTAGCAAAAATTAAACAAATGCACTCCTGAGAGCTCCTGTGCCACCATTTGCTTGTTTACTTTTGCTGCAGTGGACTGTTTGTTTGGGGAAAAGCCAGGAACAGGGAAATTCACTTATATAGTTATATCTACATCTATATCTTCTTGTGTGCAAAGGTAAAATCATGATGATGATGATTAAACTAACACATGTCTGGGTGTACAAAATTTTCCAAAAATATCTTCTGGGATGTTTTTTTGTCTTAAAAGATTAGTTATTATTTAGTTATCTGCCACACCTGATGCAGCCCATCAAGGGCCACAAGACTTAAACATTTAAAGAGACCAAAGGGAAAAGCTCGCATACTAACTTCCTTTATCTATTTGTTTAATTCTTGCTAATTTCCTGACCAATGATTTGTTGTTAAGAATACTAAAATCTTGTTTTGCCATTAAAAATGCCATTGCCATTAAAAATGTTTTGCCATTTTTGGGCTTGGCCCATTTTTTTCCCAGGAGTGTAATACAGTAACTAATATTATGCATTAGGTAGTAATATTAATAATATGACCTAAACTTAAGAACCTTAACTAAAGATTAAACCTCCAGCTCCTCAGCTGAAGTCCTGCATTTCCCTAGGCACATATGAGGGAAATAGGGAACATACAGTACATGTATGTGAGTAAATTGACATAATGGACACCATTTATGTGTAATCAAGATAAACTCTAACACGTGTGATGTTAGAATGAATAGGTCACTGGAATTCCTTGTTATCCCTCAGTGAATGGATTCCACAAGACCTATTTTACATTTATGGCATTTGGCAGACACCTTTAACCAGAGTGAGTTACATTTGTGTAATGTAATGTATTTATGTAGTGACTTATATTTATGTCATATATACAACTGAGCAGTTGAGGGTTAAGAGCCTTGTTCAAGGGCCCAGCAGTGGCAGTACCGAGATTTGAACTAATGACCTTCCGATCAGTAGTCCAACATCTTAACCACTGAGCTACAACTACCCTGTTTATCTACTGCGTATGAAGATTACTGCACAATTTCCTTTCAGAAAAAAAAGACTGTTAAAGCATGCCCCTCAGGTTCGCTTGTTTTGGTGTAGCTTTCCATTGTTTGAGAGTGAGGCAGAGGCTTGGATTAATGGCTATTAATTAATAATTTGCTTATGCATTTGGGTTCTTCACCCTGGTTCATTTCTGCCAGAAGGCTTCGTAATCACACTCAAGCCACTAAAGAACTGCTTTAAGTATATTTGCAGGCTTGCACAGTAATCTCATTATCACCGCTTCTATTTGGCTTGTCAGTATTAAAGGCACCTAAGCCATGTCATTGCTTCATTCAATCAGCTGGAGACTCATGTGTCATGCTTATTTAACACACACAACATAGCACATCCAATTTAAGACCACGAGGCACTGCAGATCAATTTTAACATTCTAATTAAAGTCATCCGTTAAATGGCAATCCAGTGTGGGGGAGGATTTTAAATTCGTACTCAGTCCTGTGGCTACATTAGGCAAAATACATCTGACTGTAATATAAAGACACAGTGTGGAAAATCACACCAAGGTATAACAGGATATGGTAGACATTGCAGCAACAAATGTAGGGACACATACAGAAAGACATGTGAGTAAAAGAGAAATGAGAAATATAGAGAGACAGAAAGACAGAAAGACAAAGAAAGATTTGAGGAGAAAAAGCTTAATGAGTTGGAGAGAGAGTTGGAGAAAAGCATATATGTCACAGTGGAGAAGATAAAAACTCTTCAGCTGGGCATTGCTGACACTTTCCCAATAAGAATCATCCGTGCTTTTAATAAAGCACTAGCTCTGGAGGCCATGCACCGGCCAACCATTCATTTCTTTTATAATTACATTGAAGAGAATCGGAACTGAGGAGAATCTTAACACACACTAGAGTAGCTATTAGAGTAGAAATAGCTATTAAAGCGATTTTCTAGGTATCTGTGTATGTAGCTGCTGTTTCTATTTTGTCTTGGCTTATTTGTTTCCCTCCTGTCTGATATGACTCATTGAAGTATCATTTCTACTCCTGTCTGAGATACACCATAAACATATTCTATCCAGCAGGACAGTCTTTTTAAGTATACCACATCTTAGTTTGCACAGACATTGTGGCAGTTAAATATGGAACACCCACCAGCCCCACTGAAATTCCTGTCTGACAACCACTGGCCTCACATTAATGTGTGAGATACTGAGATCTTCAGTCAACCCACACACACACACACACGCACACACACGAATGAGCAGCGACACCATTAACTGAACATAAGCGGAGTGGCAGTGCACTGTTCCATAGGCTGCGCGTCCTGTTTTGAAAGTGAAATAAGTGGCATTAGTCAAATGAACCGCCCACACACTCTGTGAACCGCTTAGAGCTGCTGTTAGGATCTGAAGCGTCAGCAAGCAGTCAACACCTGCCATTAAGCCATAAGCAGTCTAAGAGGTGAAACAGAAAGACCAATGCATCATATTGAAGTGCACTTCTTTGCCTGAACACACAACCCTTCACCTAAGGTAAAGAGATTCAGTCCAGTAACGCAAAATCCATCATTGTTGATTTATAATGCATTCTTCTGAATAGTGTCCTAATTGTCAAGATCATTTGCCCTCTTAAGAGAGATGAAATGCAGTAACACGGTAAATTTGAAAAAGCACTCTGCTGATCCAATGACAGATGCACACCTAACAGGTGAGGGCTTAGCAAAAGGTTCAACTTCAGCCTCATATGCAGTGGTTTCCTAGGATACTCCTCCTGCATACTGAGCTACAGAGTAGTTTATCACTACAGTAGTAGTAGTTTAGTATTTTATCACATCAGCACGTAAAGAGCCTGCACAGAGCTCATGTGATTAAGTGCTCAGCTGCTGACTTTGTCCTGAGGTAAATATAGTAAAAAAAAAAAAAAAATACTACAGTAATTACTGAAGGGAAATATTTATTAATACAGTGAAATAATGCCTGTAGATTTTCTCTCAAGTCATTGTTCCATATGTGGTGTTTCATTAGGCAGCTTCTGGTTATGGGAGTTACACACAACCCTCTTACCCCCAAGCTTCCTTCTTTCTTTCTATATTTTTTCCCCACAAATATTTCTATACAGGTTTCAAACAAGGCATCTTTCAGCACTTAATTATTTATTTCATTGTATTTACGTGGGAATACTTATACATATGGCACCCTAACTTTTGTACAGTGTACTGTTACAAATTATGCATTTGCAATATGAATTATGAATTTGTCACTAAATAGATGGATAACACAGCTATGAATATAAAGCTTATTGTTCTAATATGCATTACATCCTGAACTAGACTTGATTTGTAGTATAGTTACTGTTTATTGACATATTTCCTCACTATACTCACAGCTTCTATTTCTCTTTTTTCACACTGCTGTATTTGACACTATAATTATTTTTCAATTCATATTGACATCACATTGCTGCCTAATTAATCCCTGGACTGTGATGTTTAACTGTTTCAATAATACTTTCTCTCTCTCTCTCTCTCTCTCTCTCTCTCTCTCTCTCTCTCTCTCTGATGTATAAGTCCATCAATTAACATCTCAACCAGTATTGATGCAGGTGCATAAGTAGCTTGAGAATTTCAGGCTAATCCGTTCTCATTGTTGCTGACAGAATTATTCTGCATTTTGAAAACTTCAAGCTGCTTATTTCTTCATTGTTGTAATGCAGGACATGGTAAGAGGTGCACATATACATATACTTACTTGAAAGGGTGGAGGTTTTCTCTCACTCAATGGCTCAGTCAGCCAAAAAATGCCTCTTAAAAATATCTGTGTTAAACACAGTACCTCCCTCCCTCTTACACATGCACAGCCAACATCTCTCTCCATCACAAACACACTCACAGTAGAACAGCAGAATGGTTAAAACATATCTTACAAATTGTGTAGCAAGCTGTGCCTCAAGACTCATAAATTTACATGCGCCAAACTTTATGAAAAGTTATTAACAGTTAGGTTAGGGTTAGGGGTATGGTCTAGGGATAGCAGACATTGCTTTCTTGCTAACTCATCTGTGTGAAATCCAACAAAATTGTTTAACCCTTTAACCTCCCAGTTTTTTATGCAGTTATTTATCTTCAGGGAGTTTAAGAGGTTAAATCAGTAAGGTCTACTATGTGAAAATAGTACTGACACACTCTGTGCTATAATACTATTTATGCTGTTCATAAACGCATCTAAAAGAAACCTTGTTAATCACTGTGGCTTCCTTACTTAGCATATGTTAAACTTGTCATGACCGTGACTGTCAAATCTGTCACAATGCCCTTGCTCCATCATGCCATCACCAAAACTGAGAAGACCACTTATACGCTCTGTACAGACAACAGCAGACAACAGTTACAAATGATTAATAACCAATGTAGCCAAAATATTGTATTTCCCCACCGATGTAAGCATGAACAGAGACCAGTCAAGACAAGAGATGCATTACATTAGGGTATAAATATAGAGGTAAACGTTTTCAGAACTATATAAAGAACGAAATGTAAAGAAGAAAATCGTACCATGTGAAGGGTTTTCACCACACATAAAGTTAAAGACTGGTGAATGTACAAGGGCATGATTCATATACAAATACATAGCTACATACATTACATATGCAAGGCATATACAAATTCATACCTTCATGGGTAACATATATTGCTTTCTCCCTTTGTCTTGTTTTCACTTTCTTTGTGTGAATCTCACTGCTTCTGAATCCTGTTGACATCCTGAGAAGGTGGTTATTGGGCCTGCTAACATTGGGCCTATGAACTGTTTTATCTGCAGCAGCTAATGACAAGTCTCTCTCTCTCTCTCTCTCTCTCTCTCTATGAGCAAAAAGGACTTCAAGCTATTTTTTTGAACTGACGCCCTGTGCATTTGTAGAAGTCTCTCACTTATCATCGCACGGGCACTGTATGCAGAGTGAGGTTTACATCATGCATGTGTGTTTGCGTAATCACTAATGGGCTTGAGGAAGACTTCTGACCTCTTTGCAATGATTGGCCTTTTACACCTAGGGAGCAATTCAGTTGAGGGACATGAGGAACAATTTTACTTTCATAGAGATATGTTTTTAAAAAATCATTCAACAGATGGTGCAGCTGCTCTGGAAGATTTGCTTCTGAGGCCATGAGTTTTTATATTAATTATATATTAATATAAATTTTATATATATTAATTTTATTGATTGGTTTACAATTAAGAAGGGACTAATTGCTTTAGACAGTACTTAATAAGAGATAGTTTGGTCATTGGTTGAATTTTGTATTTCAGAGCAGTCATTTTTTTAAAATATGTAAACAGTACAGAAAACTGAATTGAATAATGGAATTAATATTTCAATTATTAGACTAGATGTGGTTTTAAATTATTAGTAACTTGATTTATTGATTCATTGTTAAACTCTTTTTATAATATTTTATTGGAAGGGGTATTTTGATAGTAAGTTATTAAAGAACTTTAACCATCTCACTGTGGAAATGGGAAGGCTGAAAACAGTGGAAACCTGGCTCAACTTGGCACACTCTAGTTTGTCTCTCAAAAGAAGTACAATGCAATGCAGCACTAAACCATAAATATTAATCATTCTGCTCTAAACTAAATTATATCACTAGCATTTTGCACTGTTACAGATGTACAGTATGTTGCTAAACTGCAAAAAAGATAATTAAGAGATTAGCCCACCCATTTATATTACTGCTACATTAATGTATCATATTTTTAGTACCATAAATCAAATAAATTTAACACTGGCCTAGCCACAGATGTGCCAGAGTGTGCCTATATCACCTAAATTTGCAGCTGGAACACAAATATGTGCCTATCAGAAATATTTCATTGACAATTGACCATGTTTATGTTTGAATGTAATATTATGTTTTGGTTTCAATGTTTCAAAACAACATTTGTAGATGATTGGTTAATACACATATCAAGCTTTGAAGAATTATCGTTTTTTTGCAG